TTATTACTGTTTAGAACAAGGACTAAGATATTATATCTTAGTCAGTGGTTTAGACTGATTGTAGTACGACAAAAACTTAATGGTGATACCCATCACGATATAATTTTCCAAAATAAAACAATGTGGTCATATGATATTATTATATGAGACAAAAATTTAAGTTTATACCTATGAATGTATATACGTGGGTTAACCTTTTTCCGGGGGACAAAATATATTCTGAATAACAATATAATCGCAATGATATGTGTGTGCAGGTAAAATTATAATAATAATAGTATATTATGTACCTAATACACCAAACGAGCAGAGGTCATATTAATATGCATGCCGCCACCACCACGGTAGCCGTTGTTATAAATTCCAGAGTTTCCACCGGTAATTGTCTCTAATATATCCCCCGGAGTAACCTATTTATTGCATATAGGATGCATTATCACCTGTTTTTTTTCTACCCCGCCGCCCGTTTTATGAAATCACCTGTTACTACAATTAAAGTCAAATTCGATAACTCGTTATTAAAAGTCATTAAGCGGACGGTTTGCATTTTCTACAACGGCCGTGCAGGTGTCTCGAGTTGTCTCGTTCAAACAAACAACCACGAAAAAACAAAAACCGAAAATGACCACTTGTAATAATTATATACCTACCCGTACGTACTGCAGTCTGTTTATCTTTTGTGTAAATCACCGTGTTTAACCTTATGACAATATTTGATTTTTTTCCGTGCTAAAAAATTACTGTACACATAATTATTATTAAAACGTCGTTTATTAGGTTGTATTTTTTTTTTTACTTTCACACCTCACCTTTTCTAGTTACAACTTTGTACAAACAAAAAATTAAATTTGGTTGTAGTAAATAGTTGGATAATTTTCTGTTGGCTTAACGATTTATTTATAGTTGTGTCTCAAACAATGGGTGTTTAGTCGAAAGTGCTGCAGTACACTAAGTTTGACGCTGCACATCCGTAACGTACATATTCATTTTTAAAAATCAAACGTTATTTTTCTCGATTGCTTTTGTTTGCGTATACCCTTCTATTATGTATACTTTTTATACTAGATATATATGTACCTACCTAAACAGTGTATCTGATATTGGCACCAATATTCGGTAGCCCGTACAATTAGTACAAACTGAAGAATGGTTTTCGATTATTTTCAACACTTTATGTACCTATATAACCAACAAAAAAAAAAACGATACTTTTCTGAAGGCTGCTAAAGCACCTGCCTACCATCAGTGTCTCTATAATAAGTGACATAGTGTATACGTGTAGTCATGCAAAAATTAAAATACCATTCTTGATTATTGATTAATGTTATATATATACTGCCAATATACTTCGCCACGTTTATAGCAAATAGTAGAGTTTATAATATAAACAAGTAACGACAGGATATAAAATCATATTTATTCATCGTGAATTCTGTTGTATATGTATAGTATGTACATGAGAGTTGTTCCCATACAACGTCATATATAGGTATAATACTTGTGTGCTCACATTTCAAAAATTGCATAAACGATAGACTTTATATCAGTGTGTGCATATTTAAGTTATGCAAATGTTTTCTACATAATATCTGTTACACTGGTCGTTGTCAAACATGAATTGTATAATAGTCATTTTTTTGCAATGTGTTAAGAATTTTTTTAAATCAGTCAGTACCTACGTGTTTGTAACGAATTTTTCAACGTCAAGTTATATTTCTACCACCTAATTCTAAGATTTTCTAATGGCAAAATGATTAAAATCCGTTTTCTAAACACATTTACATAAGTTTATAATTTATAACTGTTAAAACTTAGACGCGTTCACTATACAATTTAAATACCCGAAAGACATTTTGTATTATATCATAATATTAATGTGCATATTCTATAATTGAATGTTCTAATTTATGTGTCTAGTGTTGTACACTTATAGAAAAAACACATGTCTTTAAATTAAGAAATGCAAAAAAACATCTGTCAAAAGACATAATTATTCAGCTCAAGTTATCGTTATTTTAATATACATTGTACATAATATGCATACGCATTTACCACACGGACTATAGGGTATCTGTTTTTTCGGACAACGGAATAATACTTCCGTGCCCGCATATAATATAATATTATTTCACCTATCAATTTTTATTGTGGAGACACACTGTACAGTCCCGGAGATTCAACGTTTTTTGACAAATGCAAAATATCAAATTGTACGCAGGTTTTAGAATACATTGACAAAAGGGATATTTCAATAAGTAGGTACGTATTATAAACGTATACATTGTGCGTATACGTTGATACGCGTCATCCTTTGTGGATAATTCGCCGCAATAAACTGTAAACATTTCAAATTTTCGATTCGCATCTCGTGCGGCGGCGTCCGCTAAATATATTTTTTATCCACACACGCCGCTGCAGCGTAAACAATAATAATATATACCTACCCGCGGTGTGTAATCGTATTATTAGGTACCTATTATCATTATGTTTCCACCGACTCGTTGACGAATAATAATTTCGGATAACCGCGCGCCTAAGTGTGCCGCGGTCGCTTTCATGTATCCGAGACGGTCGTGTGTACAACATAATAGGCGCATACACGCCGTAGGTACCATATATTGTGCGTATATTGTGATCGACAACAACACCCCCGCACACTGTGTCGTGTACGAATTGTAATCCCGTCGAAACCGCAGTCGGTTACTGCGTATAAAACATATAACATCGTATCCATCTTACATTTGAAGATCGTCGCGCCGATATGCCCCATTTATATAATATTATAACAACTCGTCGTTGTCCATTGTCGGCGCTATAATATTATATTATTATCAGTCTTTGGCCGCGACACACTTTTGTTCGTCAAACGCCGCCGCGGTGCGTGTGTGCGAAATCCGCTACCGAATGGAAAAAACCACCCCTAGCTCTTTTTTTTCTCTTTTACCGCGCCGAGTGTCATCGCGCACGGGGCGCTGAACTCCAATAGGTCCGCCGCCGCGAGGAAACGAAACCGACAAAGGTTATACTTAATAGTATGTTGTATATAGGGACACAGTGCTCTGTAATTCGCTTCGTTCCCCTTTGAGAAATCTCCGTTTCGTTAAAATGGTATAAAATCCGCTTAAAAAATTATGTCCGTCGTTTATTGTGTCTGTATAACATGTACACTATATCGTCTCTCTTGTGTGTGTGTGTATTTATATATATATATATATATGATCCGATGCTGCGCCACAACGAGACCAGTTTGCGGAGGAAGCAATAAACCACCGCGCGTTCAGCCGGTTATCTCTCGGCAGTCGGCACTCTATTGTATATATTATACCTATACCTGTATACACTGACGCACAAGTATATGTGTACTTACGACCAACCGTCCGCGGGGATAAAAATCGTACAGATTTATCGGGCCCGGTCCGTACAGGTACACAGGGCCGCACTCGATTTATTGAGATCCGTTCGGGTCTTCGGGAGGTCTGTGCGATTTGTGTGCGTCTGCGTATACTCGTGTAAATGCGTACGGATGTGTGTGTGTGTGTGTGTGTGTGTGTGTGTGTGCTTGTGTGCTATATGCTCTATAGTCGTAACTTTTGCGATTCGAAATTCAACACCGAAAATTGACCACCTCGTCGCCGCCTAAATTAAATATAAATTACGTTTTTTCCCTCTCGTAATGCAGTACAAATATATTTATACGTATACTAAACATTAAACCGTATTGGAAATCGTACATCGTGTATAGTATATACTATATAGGTACCTACACTTGCGGACATAGAATAAAAATCAAGTGTATATGTATACATTTTTAGTCGGATATTATACAAACTGTAAAAATGTTACCTGAACGTACCCCATTAATCGGTGTTTTAATTCACACTATATTTTATTATCGTACGATACGATTCGAATGCATATTTCTTTTTCGGCGCGCACAGATGTGTATAAAGTACACAATAATATGCTCGACGAGTGCCGACGTCTAATAGTATTTACTATTTAGTTGATAATATAATATTATCTACAAGCATGTCGTCGACCTGTAGGCTTTAATTGAATTTCCTAAACGGTCGTATTTTGCGTACCGTGTGTTGCGAAGACGTTTTAATTATTCGAAAATATTTCATTACTCGGCGTAGTAGTGTATGCTGCACGACGACGACGGGTATACCCGCGTATGACTTGTTGCTCGGTGCGTTTAATTGCACTCGCTTTACAGAGAAAACTAGCTGCGTATAAATTGCATTTTGGGGGATATTAACGGCGTGCAATTTGCTACAGATGATAGCCATGTGATTTACCGGCCGCGCTTAATTGTGCGGGTGTAAAGCACACGATGCAAATGCACATTCAAACCGCAACAGTGCAGCTATAATATAATATACAACAGGAAGCTGTGTCGGGTGCCATAATTTGTACGGCCGATGCATTTTAGGGGTGTAAGAACTTAACACTATGTATCGCGCGTTATGCGCATAATGCACACAATTTATTGTACACGTAAGGGGTGTTACTGCAAATTTAGTATTCTGAGATTCGTTTTAAAACGTCTAATAAATCTCAAATTCACTTTCAATTGTTTTATTATTTTCGAATTTAATATAATATGCATCGTATTTCTCTGTGCTCCATTTCGCTGATTGTCGACCATAATAATATACAATATATGTATGCATATTATTAGCGTTTGTCAATAATATGCATACTATCACATATTTTTTTTTTTATTAATTAACCCGCGGCAACTTAGGCCATTGGGTGGTTTTCAACTGTGGGGAGGGTAGGTTTAACACGTGTGTTCGTTAGTTTGGCAGATTTTTTAGTGGGCACCCGTAGGTATCTGCCATGCCCGGGTGGGGGATGGCGGCACTTCTCTCCGGACACCGTGACTTGCCCGAAGAAAACCGACGCTTTAGTCCTCTCGGCCACTCCGTCCCCCAACATCACATATTGTAATGACTACAATTTAGAACTGAAAAATCATTGTTCAAATAAGCTATTTATGTCGTGTGTTCAATTTTTCTCGTACATTTAACCAGTTTATTGCTATTAAATATTTTTTCGGTGTGGGCTCTTGGTGCTTCATTCGAACCCTGCATCTGACTCAATTTTTCTGGTATCGGTCCTAGAAGTTTTAAATTCGGATGGCTCGTGTAATATGAGGTAGTGTAAGTGGTGTGACTTTCAATAGGCATCCTGGACCTTAGGGATTCATCGACAAAAGCGCGTCTAGGGCAGATATCTGCAGCCTTTGAGTCAAAATTACACGGCAGAGATTTGTAACTAGCTCGGAACACTGATGTCGTTTCCATCGGTTCCGAAGACACTTTGTAGGCACTCGGAGGGCGTCGCCAAAGTTTCGGTGTAGCGGGACGGCGGTACGCGTTACCTGTAGTCGTCTCCACTTCCATTGAAATATGCAGCAGCGGCGGCCGGCCGGGAGGGGTGACCGGTCTAGCTGTAAAAATTAATATTTTCAACATTTTAACAGTAACTTTACACGTTTGACGGTATACATATTATATTGTAGTATTATTATTTAAACTTTTCAGAAGTCCGCCGTATTCGCGGATCTATCTTTATAGATACCTAATATATTGGTTATTATTGCATTGTTTTACAACTTTTTACTATATGCGACGTATGTATACTACCGTGTATATTATATACAAGATATTTATACCAGCACTTACCGCCCACCACTGTAATGTTAATAAATAATTTTCTATTTATTAAAGTTGTTGTTTTTGAAATTCATTGACCTACCATATATTATATATTATATTCATTGACCTACCATATATTATATATTATATATTATACTGAAAAACCACATTTTCCGAATTTTACGGCATATAAGAATTAGCGATATCAACAGTTTTTTTTTTTTTTTAACAAATAGGACCACCCTATAATCTATATCCATTGTTTTATTTATTTTATTTTTAAGGTTTGAAAGAATTATAGTTATCTGTAAATTGTGTATAGACAGGTATTCAACATATTCAATTTGTATTCTCGAATCATCATTTTTCTTGTGTACCTATATTGCAATAGGTATAATATAATAATATATACCCTCTACTCGTGTGACGGTAACACGGTGAATAGAGTAAATAACATTATGTACATATAAAGCTGTTCAAAATTCGCATAAAATATTGATACATTTCATAGATACAAGATACCAAAGTCGTATACTCGTATTATATTATATATATTATATATATATACTTTATTTACTTCAAACGATTAGAGTTAACTCGTTTGTTTTCTGAATCATATATTATTATACATGTACCTAATGAGTAATGAATGTTTACAACTAATGATCATAATATGTTTCCGAGTACTCTCTGTATGAGGGGGGGGGGAGTGCTGGAGTGCAAACGAACGGTATCGTGAAGAACGGTTGTCGACTAGCTGACTTCAATTATTACCTCGGTGCAGTCCTTCTTTTGCAGGGTAATGCATTTTGTACGACGTGCAGTGAAAACGGTCAACACAGTCTCCGGCCAGGAACCCGTGATCTTGAGGTGGCTTTGACTTGATCGGTTCTTGTGGGTCTCTCAACCGATATGCTTCCCGGTGTGCAGTGATGACGACCGACGGAGCTAGTGACCGTTTAACAGGTGTCCGACAGCGGCGCACAGGCAACGGGAGCGGGAGCGGCCGGTAGGAGGCACTGTGCACGGTCAACTGTTCCATGGCCGCATTGACCACGGTCGGAGCCATAATTTTCAAACGATATAATATTATAATATGACGCTGCAGCTAGTACATTCATGCGATGGCAGTATTTTCCATACATAGATAGGTCCGAGTCCCTAATGTAACAATAATATTTTATTATTATTAAACGTGTATAGTATCATATATGTATAGTATGTTTGTATCACCGAGGTAACTACGCCACATTGGTAACTATGTCGATGGCATACACTCACGAAAACAGCGTGAAGGAACAGGTCGAAAAATTCTCATCAACAATATCCGTGAGATACATGTATATATTATTATAGTGATATCACTAATATTGTCGGTTACGAAGTGGTACTTTGTTTTTCGCCCGAGTGCAAACACACGCACACAGACATAATAAAGAACTATGCCCGGTGCCCCAACGGTCGATTGCATATTTTCACTAAAATATTATTTAAAAATGTATTTTTATAAGTCAACAAGGTGCTAATTATATAAATATTTTATTCAACCCCTTCACCCCCCTGCACAATCAAAATATTTGTGCCAATATGAAAAAATGTTGAAATAATATATATTTTTATACTTTCAAATTATTAATTTCTGTATTACCCGCCTCGAGTACCTTCACACAAATAACATGAAAATTTCTCGCTGATGTACGTCACGCATTTGCTCAATCAGCCACACCCGTACGTGTAATAACCACAGATATATACAATAATAATTATTGTATATATCTGTGGTAATAACATTATAATAAAATATATATAATACGTGTATTCTATATGGGTATCGTACATCAATGCAAACCCTCATGATATGTATAATACTTATTATTAACTGCTTGCAATGCACGGTCAAGACCAGCTCAGACGGCGGCCGCAATCAAGCCGTATGCTCTCGTGAGTTGTGCTGCCGCCGGTATAATATTCTACTGCAAAGCGATGATATAATAATAATAATAATAATATCACTATTATTATTATTATAACACAATGCGATGCAGATAGTGCACATGAGATAAGGAGATCTTCTGCAGAAGAAACTATTTAGAAAACTCGACGCCGACCGTACGACAATATAATATAATAATATAGTAGCCGTTTGCGCGGGTACACGAGTTAAATCGAGAACGGGCTTCTCACAATATAATAATATGTATTTACCTATATCTGTATGTATACATTATATGGGGTCAAATGTCGCACCGCATATTCCTTCGCGCGCGTTCATTGTACAATATAATATAAGTATATTATAATATATCGATGTATGGTCATAGTAAATTGCTGCGGCTTACAAATATGCGCACTGTTATCATATATATTGTGCGCTACACGTGTACCTGGATAATAATAATATAAAGACCGGTATAATATGGCCGGAAGAAATAGAGTCGTTTCACGCGAGGCAGCGGACAATGGTCGCACTCGAGGAAAGTCTCTCAGAACTCGGCATCGCCCGTGGAATATACGGCGGCTCGCGTTCCGTTTATTATTCGCACAATATAATAGAATAATATTATTATCATACTAATAAGTGCGCTCGTCGTGAACGAGACGCGACGGCTGCTCGCTGAGTCTGGATACTGTCACGTTGTACAAACGACGACGACGATGCGTTTTCCTGGCACCGGAACCAGCTAGGTGTATACGTCCCCGCAGACGGCCGAAAAACGTTTTTATTTTTTTCGTTTCCCCGAATCACACGTGCGTCCGACCTTTTAGCGTTGACAACCCGACCGCGATTTATCGCCTCGTTCAGAGGAGTCCAATTGCACAGACAACCGATTCTATTTTATGCGTATAGTACGCTCGTCTAAACATTTGGTGTCCCGGGTCAGCGTATCATTTAGTCGGCCCGTGCAGTAATGTGCAGAGCTGTATTATACGATATTGCTGCAGTGTGCACGACGACAGAACAGTATCCTTCCGCGAACCCGGCACGGCAATATGGTCTTCGGCGGATGCAACGAGCAGGGAACATATTGAGCAAAAAAAAATCGACTCGTGTACACACGTTTTTCTCTTTGATTTATATACTCGTCCTCGGGGAGCCAGCCACAACCAACCCCCCCCCCCCCACCGCGTGTCCTTCAAAAGTCCTACAACCGACATGGGCGCATTTATATTACATTATATTATTATGTGCGCACGGCAGCTATACGATCTGCAGCGCACCGAAATTTAAGTGTCTCGAACGTTTTTAATTTTTATGTGTATTAGGTTACCTAGGTATATAGCCTTCTGTTTTTAAAATTTATTATTTCTGGTTTGGAGAATTGAATACCCCGAGAAACGGCTCGGTAACATCTCACAGTTCACACATTATGCCAATACAACATGTTACATGTACATATACTGCCAACAGGAATACAAAGTCGAACTTTGCGACGACCTTTTTTTTTAATTAACGATCCGCGTATACATATTTCTGATAGCATAACACAATAATGTACAACAATATTGTATTTATCGAATATACTGTATACATACCCGTGTATATGGATTGTGCAGCGTTATCGTATACATTTCACCATATTATAATATATATATATATATAAATATATTGCCCAACGACGTTATTATTATAAATTATCATATAAACGACCAGTTAAATAACTGTATATATATATATATATGAACCCGTGGTGTATACGCGACGATATACCTATAATAATAATAATAATAAAAACCATTAGTAGGAATACAATTATTATTGTATAATATTATATAGGTATTCATGTGCGTATAGTTTTATGCATTTCCAAACCGGTCGATTATAAATAGTTTTTCTATTCCGACAAAACGAGCTATTGTGTATAATAATAATTATTATTATTATTGTCGTATACATACGCGAACGAAATGATTGCGAGCTATTTCGATTGCTGTACCGCCTGTACCTACCAGGTCTTCGTGGGTATAATAATATATAATACATATTATATACATATAATAACCGGTGAGGGAGAAGTGCTTGTATAATAAATGTGTGTATATATTATATTTATATATTGTTGTTGGATTGTTTGTTTTAATTACGTATAGTATGTATATCATTATAAACGTATGTATATATAGGTAGTTATGTGCAAATATAAAAACGTGCGAAGAAAAAACCGTATCGCGACGGATGAACTTGGTTACCGCACAAATAAAATTACAACTTTCAAAACTTATTCAAATACTATTATAATAATAGTATGTAATATTTATGTTAAATAATCTTCGAATTGTGTTAATTTTCCCGGTCGCCGCAAGTATCCGCATACGTGTATGCTGCGTGTAACTTTTACAATGTAAAATGAAGTTATGCGTGCGGATAATAACGAGTAGTTATACATCTATATACATATATTTAGAGGGCCGTCAGTGTGTTATTATATTTTAATTTAATTGGGTCTAAGCGCGCTTCAAGACGTAACGAAAATTATCCGACATGTATAACGAGGAGGAATAGTGCTCAAGTAGGTATGTCTATTTATAGTGTAGTTCATACTTCATGCGTGGATATACCATTATAGTGTAATGTAAATACTCTTGAATCTGGGTCTATACGTATAATGTATACCTATAATAATATGTATTAGGTATATAGGTATGTATTGAATTCACGAATCAGTAGACCGATTGCAGCTTGTCAGTTTGAGAAGTACTACCTACCTAAGATGAGGGAATAACTCGTTCCCCTTTTCCTAGCAAAAAAATCATCAAAATACATATTATTCGAATTTGAAAAAAAAATCTTTATCATTTAGTACGAGGTAGTTGTGCTTGTGCATTTAATCTTCTAAGACCGTTTACGTTTCGTTTGGTGGAAACGAAAGTATATCTGCCCACGAATATTATAGTATACCTTCATTACAGACCAATTCAGTTCATTCAGTTCACCCACGACCCACGAATATAATACTTCTACAATATTCTACATAATATATAGGTACTCTATAATACGTTTATACTTTATATAGTGTAAAGTCTAATGACGAGATGTGTATATTATATAATATATATAGATTATAGACCCGAGTGTGTGTCTTCGCGTACACAGTGTGCGTGCGCAATTAAATAATGAACCAAGTCCCTCGGGGGCGCGTATAATAGTGTAATGTCTGTTTAACGAGTTGTACCTATATATAATATAGTTTATACATACTCTTGCACACACAACTACTGCAACTGTACTACTACTACTACTACTACTACTATGCCACTACTATACGGCGTGTAATATCGCGGGAAAGGGTTATCGCTGTCGTGTACAGGTGTAAATTAAACAAAATAATAATAATAATTATATTATTATTATTATCCGGGGCCGCGCTCGGAATCGTCACAGCCGCGCGCGCCACCACCGTTTGAAGAGCCGAGGAGGAGCTGGCAACTGCAGAGGCAGCAGCTGATACAATGCCTCGTTGTGTTTGGGAACAACAAACTACGCTCGTATAATATTATAATAAAATGTGTATACGAAAATTATTATTCCTCGAGAACTAGTTTTACGTGGCTAATAGCCTACAAATTAGTGTGCAACATGCAAGATTAATTAGTCGTTCGAGCGGATTAGGTATACCTATTATAATATAATATATATAATATTATTATGTGCGTGCGAGCAAAATAATAATAATATACACGACTCGCACTGTAAACACACACATACACACACAACAAATAAATAAATAATATTAATATAATATTATTATAATTTATAATAATATAATGCGGGTTGCGTTTTTTTTTTCAGACGGCGTTACACTGGGCGGCGAAACACGGAAACATGGACCTGGTGAAAATGCTGGCCGGCACGTACGCTGCCAACGTCAACGCTAAAACGGTAAGCAAAACGAACGATCGAGTGCTTTTCATGTTTTTGTGTTATATTATTTTCCTCATGTTCGAGCCACGATAACTACCATTATTTTGTACCTACATATATCGTTTACACACAAATACACAGTCGTCATAATATTATTACGCGGTGTCGGCACCGATGAACGATCATATAGAAACGCATAACAACTGCAT